GTACCACTATGCCCCACATGCCTGGCTAGTTTTTTCCCTCAATTTTAGTAGAGATAGGGTCTCTCTCTTGCTCAGGCTGGTCTTAAACTCTTCAGTTCAAGCATTCCACCTGTCTCAGCCTCCCAGAATGCTAAGATTACAGGCGGGAGCCACTGTGCCTAGTTTGCATTTAAGAATTTAATCCACAAACATTTACAGAGTGTCTTTTAGGAACCAGATGCCTCTTGGCACTAATGGGGATAAAAAGATGAACTACGGTCCCTTCCTCCCACATTTATAACGAATAGGGAGAGAAAAGTTGTGATTAAGAAAGTAAAATACACTGTAGATGAAAATAAGAAGCAAAAAGTAAGTTTAAAGAAATTACGCTGGCAGATCAGGGGAAAGCTGTTTTTATTTGGGGGCAACAGAAGGATGGGTCAGAAAAGTCTAGGGAAGAAGCTGTATGGGACCTGAGCTGTGAAAGGAAACCAGGGTTTGGAGCTGCACAGGTGAATGGAATGGCATTTTCAAGCCTGAGCCAAGCAGGGCTGGAGAAAATGTACAGGGAGCCCAGCGAGTAGTTTGTAGGCGCCCAGGTGATGAAGAGAGTGGGGTTGAAAGTCAGATTGTGAAGGGCAAGCGCGCAGGTGTCACTGGAGGGAAAGTTTCCTTCCTCCTCCCGCCACCTCCCCCCCTTTTCTTTCTTCCTTCCTCAGGGTCTTGCTCTGTCATTCAGGCTAAGGTGCAGTGGTGTGATCAGAGCTCACGACAACCTCGAATTCCCAGGCTCAAGTGATCCTCTCGCCTTGGCCTTCTGAGTAGTGGGACTGTAAGCATGCACCATTACCCTCGGCTAATTTGTTAAATACTTTTGTAAAGATAGGTCTCATGCGCTGGGTTGCCCAGGCTAGTCTTTAACTCCTGGTGTTTCACCCTCCCAGGAGCTAGGACCACAGGGTGGGCCATTGCACCCAGCCTTGCAGAAAGAGCTTCTGAGAGGCACAGAACAGGTTTGCTTTGGTGGCAGCAGGGGAACCCGGAGGGAGGAGGAGCGGAGGGCGCCTGTGCAGAAGGGCGTTACCCCAGCAGGCCTAAGGCCTTTCCCTCTGGCCAGCTCCTGGGATCCCCACTGGTAAACTGCTCCATACATTGACACAAGCTTTCCCTAACGGGTGACAGCGGCTCCCTGAGCCTGCACTGTGCGCATCAGCACGTGGCGTATGCGCAGCACCCGCCTTTCTTCTGGGAATCTGGATTTTGGGCCCCCTATGCAAGGGACAGGGTGCCTAAAACCAGTACCAGTATCTGGGAAGATCTCCATAAGGGCATCTTTAACGAGCTTCCCTGACAATTTACATGTTGTGAGGACTCGCTCCTGGAGGAATTCAGCGCACCGCTGGCGCCCGCGATGCCGCCCCTGGACGTGGCCACGTGCCTTTTCTGTCTGTTGTTTGCCCCTTCCACTGTAATGAACCTTTGCCATGAGTACATCCCTGTGAGTGCTGTGAGTCCTTCTACTGAACCAATGAACCCGGGGGTGGTCTCGGGAGCTCCCAGCATGGCTCAGTTAGTAAGGCCTATAATAACCAAGGGCTGAGGAGGCCTGGCCCACAGCAGTGATGGTGGGAGGGGAAAGGAAGGAGGGAGACAGCGCCGCCACTGCAGTGACCCAACAGACCTTGGCAGCTGACAGGGGAGCTGGGGCAGGGGAGGAGGACAGCTGGAGAGGGGCTCTGAAGTCCCTTTGAAAGTAAAGGGAAGATGGCGGAGCCATTAAGAGGAGGAAGTGCAGATCCCACCAGAAGGTGATGAGTTCAGTCTGGGGGATATTGAATCACAGGAGCTGGTGGGACATGCAGGTGTAACAGAGGTTGTCTTGCACCACGAGAATGTGTGCACACGTGCAGATGCACGCCTGCCATCATAAACACTGGGGAAAAATGGTCTTTAAACCAGACAGAAAACTGCCTCGCAAACTTACACTTTTAGATGACTGTATTCTGAACAAAAATCTATTAGTGAGAGTTAATAAAAATAATTTCTGTACCAAAAAACTTTCTGGTAACCTAGTGTACAGTATTATCATGCCCATAAAAATAGTGCCCAGGCATATTCATGTAACCTCCAAAAGCTCAGATAATTTCTCTTTTGTGGGTCATGCGGTCAATGAGTTAGCCTTTTGGAAAATGTGCGTGTCAAAACTGAAAAGGGTTAAACAGTAGAGAAAACTTCACAAACCAAAGGCCAATTTGGCCATGGTTGAAACATAAACACTCAAGAGTCACTGAAGGCATCTTCTCTTTGGTGAAGATGTCAGGGAATGAATGAATGAATGAATGAATGTGACCAAGTAGCCAAGAATCACTGACACTTACGCAGTTCCATTTCGTGGCCCAAACGGAGCCCTGTCTTCACTACTGACAGAGTAGACATCATAGCACTCTTTAATTTCATCTCTTAAGTCCTGGGGGATAGAACAGGATCCGTTTCTGACTTTGAGTTGCCGTATTCGTGGTACCCCTAACAGCAGGTTCTCATAGAAAATGAAACTTCGGTTGTCAGCTTCAGTTTGGTTGCCGGGCTCCATCTTCCAGTACAGTCCATCCAATAAGGAGCCTTGTGTGAACTGAAGGCAAAGGAAACATTGTTTAAAAAAGTTCCAGGCTCCGCAGCTGTCTTACTCCTGCCTGGAATGTCTGCACCAGCAAGAGTTTGGCAACCCCATGGAGATGGTGGCGTGGTAAGAGCGGATTTTGTCTTCAGATAGATTTGGGTTTGGCTCTTGCTCTATCACTTGCTAGTTATGAGGCCTTGGGTGGGATCCTCTAAGCCAAGTTCCCTGCATTTGGAAAACTCATCTTTGCATGGGCACATAGGGGTTACCTAATAAATGGCAACTCACTTTTGCTCTGTGACTAAAGGTGGGGTGGTAGTTGCATAAATCCAAGACCATGATCAACTCCACTTTCCCTTATTAAAATGGCATCCCATGTGATCATATTTCTAAACTTGTTTAGACAAAAGGTTGTAGTTTTGATTGCCAGCTTGGCATCGAGGGGATCTTTTATTTGACTGGACTATTTTACTCTCTGGTGAACTCTCCAAGCCCTCTCTGCCCCTGATAGCCTGGCATTATCATCATGGAATGTGTATATGTGAGAAGTCTCTGGTTCATACAACCAGCTATGCCTACAGGGAAGGCAGACCCAGCTGGTTCTCAGTGTGCTGTCCTTATTGGATGATCAGTACAGATAGACTGACTGGGCCCCGCGAGGTGGTGAAAGATTCACATACAAGGTGGATTTGGATGCCAAGTACTTTATACATTAATAGGTACCTGTGACCCAGGTTTCTCTATCCCCAAAATCAACACTTCTGACTCCAGGGTTGAGTAAGAATTTTAGAAAGTATCACCCTAGGAAGAAATAATCATTTCCTTTCCAATTTTCCTTCTGATTTCTTAGATTCCAAGCACTGTATCTTTCAGATCAGTTTAGTACTTTTCCTGTATTATTATTTTCATTGCTTATGCCCTGTTGCTGTGTTAGAATTTCTTACAATCTGGAAATGCTGGGTTGAATTTCACAATAGCAGACCTTTGAAAGAATGTGCCTACCTTTTTTAAAAATTTTGCTCAGGCTGGTCTCAAACTCCTGAGCTCAAGTGATTCTCCCACCTTGGCTCCCAGAGTGCTAGGATTACAGGCCCGAGGCACCACACCCGGCCAGAATGTGCCCACTTTGTATCAGGCACTGTTCTAGGAGCTGGAGACACATGCCATCCTCAGCGAAGAGACAAAACCAAACAGTGAAGCAAGGCAGAACAACGAAAATCCCCTGTGGGTCTCACATTCTCAATAAATATTTATTGAAGCATGAATAAATGAATGAACGAATTATAAGCTAGGATGAAGTGGCTGTCAGGCTAGAAAAAAAAAGTCAATTTTTCTTATTTTCTAGCTACGTGACCATGTGCAGTAAGCATCCTGAACCTCATCTTCCGCATTAACAAGCTGAGGCGTGCTGTTAGTACTTACCTTATGAGGTTACTAGGGGTTAAATAAGGGAGGGTGTTGCACGTGCAAGGCCCTCAGTCACGTTAGTTCACCCCTCTGTGAGTAGGAACAGTGACTTCTAACAGCTCTCCATAACTTACGGCGCCTCACACAGCCGTAACACTCAGCAGTCCCTGTAGATACGCATGCATTCACCTCAGGAAGCCAAACGGACATGTGTCAGAGGTCATTTCAGTCATTTGCAAATACCTTCCAGAAATCTTCCATAGAAGACAGAGTTTTAAAGTTGGTTTTCTCGGTTTTGGACACGGGGGTGTCTAGGAAGAGCTGTGACATCATCCGGGTGTAGTAGTACACATTGGAGCTCATCATGCCATAGGTCACTGGAACACAGAAAGATCCAAATGAACTCCCCAGGGGACCTGTACCCACAATCGCCCACCGATGCCTCCACGAAGGAACTCCTCCTGGTGGAGGACATTTTGGACAAATATCCATATACGGTCTTTCCTCACTTTCGCTTCCTTTCTTCTATTATTCTTCTAGGATGTCTCTCCATCTCTCTGGCTTATATACAAGAAGCACATAATACTAATGTTGGCTATGTGAAAGGAAATTGGCTTACATTTTTTTTAATAGATGAGGATCTTGTTCTCTTGTTTATCATAGCTTACTGCAGTCTCAGACTCCTGGGCTGAAACAATCCTCCCTCAGCGTCCCAAGTAGCTGGGACTACAGGTGCACACCACCATGCCTGGCTATATTTTTAAAAAGTTAGTTGCAGAGACAAGGTCTCACTATGCTGCCCAGGCTGATATTGAGTTCTTGGCCTCAAGTAATCCTCCTGCCTTGGCCTCCCAAAATGCTGGATTATAGGTGTCAGCCACCATGCCCAGTTCAAAATTAGCTTACTATTGAGTATCAAATTTAGATCAGGTGCCTTCATTTTTGGGACATCGGGACTTCCCACATGCCTAATTTCCCATGGCCTCCCAGACAAGAACCTCCATTCCAGTTAGGCTGATGTGCTCAGAGGCCCGGCGAGCTCCCCAACCTAAGGCTGCACAGCTGCTCACTGTCCCTGCAGTGACATGTGCAGGCCATTCTTGGTCTCCTCCAGGTCAACTCTCTGTTCTTCTCTGCCCTGCTCTGTGCACCAAGGCTGACTTTTATGGATCGCACCACCTGAAATCTTTGCCCTTTGGGGGCCAGAGGAGAGAAAAGTTGGGGTTTGTTCCTTCTACGTTTCTTCCCCATTCCCTTACTGCCTGGGTGCCACTCAGCGGTGGATCCTCCAACCTTGGCCAGAGCTGCTGGGGGAATTCCTTTTCCCACAGCTACACCAGGTTCACGCAGTTCCACTCCCTCTTCAAGCCTGGAGGTGGTAGCCTTTCCTGAATCCTCCTTAGTTCCCCCCACCGTGACACATCCCTGTAATTACCACCTGAGTTTGCCATCCCTTTCCTTCTGGGATGCCAACTGATTATTGAAAATAATCAACTTACTCCTTTTATTGGAGGTGGGGAGCCTTCACTACTTACTCTTTTTGTACCATGGTAGAAGCCAGAGAAACAGTCTTCTACCTCCAGTCAAGTCTTGTACGGAACCTGCTACCTCAAGCTACATCCCCGACATGGACATTTGCTGCTTATACTAAATGGTCTTAGAAGTAGGCAGGAAGGTGATTTATAAGCTTATAAGGTCAAAGAAGATTAGGGTTCAACTCTGGGTCATGCTCCTTACTTGCCATGTGACACCGGGCAAGTTGCTTTAACTTTCTGGCCTTCAGTTTCCTCTTCTGTAAGATGGGGAGAATTAGCTATTCCAAAGGATTTCTAGATCCTTAAAATAAAAAGAATAAAATGGACCCAGTAGAAAGTATCTAGAAAGTATGAATACTTTCCCATGATATCTAGAAAGATACTTCCCATGTATCTAGAAAGTATGAATACTTTCCCATGATATCTAGAAAGATACTTCCCATGTATCTAGAAAGTATGAATACTTTCCACTCCCCATCGCTGGGCTTCCTCACCTGTCATTCTATGACCCAATTAGGACAAGAGGAGTCCTCTTCAAGTGTTGCATGACCTGCCACCTCTCAAAACTTTACTGGACCAGAGTTAAGGGCTTAGATTTGTAATCTATTTACACTTACAGAACAAAGGACTGGTCATACAGGTGAGTATGATGTGATCTCTGACCTTAGGAAGTGTAGTTCCTAATGTGCCTGGGGTGAGAGGTGTCCCACAAAGCACAGACATGGGCACAGACATGGATACATTCTGCAAAAGCCTTCTGTGATTACAGAGTCAGTCGAGGGGGAAAAGTGATATGGTACAAAAAGAGTACGTAGTGAAGGCTCCCCACCTCCAATAAAAGGAGTAAGTTGATTATTTTCAATTAACTTGAAATTAGAACGTACTTTGCATTGATTGATCAATATAGACCATTCTGGAGTTTTTTACGCATGGGTTTGTTGTTGCCATTAGGAATTTTGATAAATGATTTAAATTTTTTGATTTATAAGTATATTATGTAACTTATATAAGTTTTGATTTATAAATATGGTATGTAACTATATATAAGAATGTAAATGTAAGAATTTTAGCAATTGATTTGAAAAGGTATCTCCTTTATTTTTCTATGGCGCTCATGACCTAATTTTTTTTTTATTAAATGATAGCTGTATACATTAATGCAAGCATGGGGTACAGTGTAGTGTTTTCATATACAATTTGAAATATTTTCATCAAACTGGTATGACCTAATATTAATTATTGCTTTGAAATCCTTAAGATCTGTGCTGCTTTAATGGCATCACTGAAGAGATGCAACAGATTCCCTTGGTTATGTAGCACCACCTGCTGGAAGCCAGAGAAACAATGCCCCCTAGCTTTCAAGAAATGATTACTGCAACACAGATGTTTAATCAGCAAACATCAACTCAGTCCCTCTCCTGTGCTGGGCTGGCCCACAGGATGTCCAGGTGACAGCTGTGCACAAGGCAGGAGTCTGTGCAGGCTGCAGCCAGAAGACCCCTGGATTTGTAGTCAGAATGGTTTGGGTTTGAGTTTCGGCTTTGCTCTGTCCTAAGTGTCTGCCTCTGTTCATGACTGTGGGCCTTGGTGTCTTGCGATATTGGGATCCAGGGCAACTAATTAACCCTTCTGACCCTGATTTTGTTTTCAAGAAAATGAGAATCACGTCTAGGGCTTTTGTAAAGCTCCACTGCAAAAATGTGCATGAAGATATAAAACCCAGTGGAAATACAGAACTGCTCACTGGACTCTTCCTCTCAGTCTCTGATGGAGAAAGCTCACTGGGAAGGGAGATTCCCTCTCTCTAGATGAAATGAGTTGTGAAGAGAAAAATTATCACATGAAATAGATAACTTTAAACAAGGACCAGAAAGGAGATGAGAATATTAAAAAAATAAGTAAAGGACATACATACATCCTTTGTTCACAAATTTCTTCTGCTATTTAGTCATTGTTTTAGCTAAAAGGTAGAACAAAAACTATTAAAACATAGTACTAGCAAACAACCAGTATGTAAACTAACAAAAGCTGCCTTAAAAACATGGTCTATCTGGGCGGTGCCTGTGGCTCAGTGAGGAGGGCGCTGGCCCCATATACTGAGGGTGGTGGGTTCGAGCCTGGCCCTGGCCAAACTGCAACCACAAAATAGCCAGATATTATGGCGGGTGCCTGTAATCCCTGCTACCTGCTGAGGATCGCTTAAGCCCAAGAACTGGAGATTGCTGTGAGCAGTGACACCACAGGCACTCTACTGAGGGCAACAAAGTAAGACTCTGTCTCTTAAAAAAAAAAAAAAAAAAAAAAAGTCTATCATTTCAAAATAGCTAATGAATACTATTTTATTCTTAATTTTGTTGAAAAATATAGGTTCAAATATTAAAAACAAATAAAGGGTATTGTAGAATCATATCTATTGTATAAGTTCCAAATCCCTAGAATAAAAAAGCAAAAGAAAAAGTTCTAGTCAAACAAGAAAAAGAAAAATGAAAAATAACAGGAAAACAATAAAAAATGAGAGAATTTGACAAAGCATAAAATGTGGTTGGCTTAAATTTTTACTATATGTAAAGTTTTAAATACTGGTTAAAAAAATAAATCTCTTAGAGTTCTTATAAGAAACTCAAAACAAAAATAAAAGAATGAGAAGACACGAGTGATAAAATATTTTGAAAAGGATATTCAGTGGTACTGCAATAAGTGAATGAGTTTGATAAAAAGCATATTTTATATCGATAAATACTATATGCAATGATTTAACTATAATTAATTTTTATTTACTGCATAATAGAGCATGAAAAAATATAAAGCAATACTTGTAGAAAGGAGAATTGCCAGAATAGTTGTAACTGGGAACTTAACCCTGTCTCTCTCAATCATTGACAGAGAAAATGGACAAAAAGTACCTAAGAATATTAAGGGTTTGACCCAAATAAAAGACTTCATCTCTATATATACGTACATAAGCACATAAACTGTACACTCTAAAAGAGATCACTCACGTTCTTTTTCAAATATCCATGCAACACTTATAAAAATTGATAATAGGGAACATCAGTAAATTCCTGAAATTAAAAATCAGCAGGCAGGTGACCTTCTAAGAAGATGGCCGTGTGAAGACACACCGGGGACATGTGAAGACAGAGGACTGGAGAGGTGCAACTGCGCACCGAGGACGCCAAGCAGCACCAGCGAGCCAACAGCCGCGAGGAAGAGGCAAAAAGGTTCCCTACAGGCTTCAGAGGGAGCACGGCCCTGCCCACACCTTATTTCTGTTGTTCGACCTCCAGAACTGAGACAGTAACTATCTATTGTTTTGAGCCAAAAAAGAAAAAAAAAAAAAAAGAACAAACAAAAAGAGTAAACAAACCCCCCAAAGGAAAACCCCCACAAAACCCCCAACCGGGCAACATTTTTTAAACCACAAATTCTGAAATTAACACAAAGATAAAGAAGCATACCTATATAAAAGCAAGTCGTTTAGAAATTCAAAATTTTTTTTCTCTTAATAGCCTTTGAGCTGAAGAAATCAAAACTGCCATAAAAATGTAACTGTACTAGATGTGAACATGAACCAAGATGTCTTGGTCCTGGTATTCCAGGTCATGGGTCACCAAGAGAGGCCATCACCTTGCGTGGGAAACCCAAGTCCTTTGCTAACCCTCTTGAACCATATCCTCACAGGGATGCAGTGAAGATAAGGACATGTATTTGACTAGGTTCTATCAACTAAAAGTGCTACACAGGATGCACCTCAACTTATGATGGGGTGGGTCATGGGGTAGGTCACGATAAACCCATCGTAAGTTGAAAACATTGTGAATCAAAATGCAGTTAATATGCTT